AATACCGCAAAAATTTACATGATCCATATCTTTTGTCTAATGTATATAATATGGTTCCTTAAATTTTTTAGTATAGTCTATCAATATAGTTTTTCTTCCTGGGGGTTTTGGGGCAAGATTTCATACACTTAATTATTTTTTAAAATGAATATTCTGTGAAAAAAAATCCAGTGTACCACAGAATACCAGTGCAGAGATAAGTAAGCAACGGTTTATCAAATTGTACCAGGATTTGGTGTGTCATGTTGTATGATAATACTGTGCGATATTGCTAACTTAATTTAGTGAAAGTTAAACACTAAGATCAGTACAGAATACCAGTGGTATAACCAAAGAATACCAGGTTTATCAATAATTTTAAAAAATTCAGTTTTTCAATGGTAAAATTGATTATACTGTGTGATTCCAGTGTAGTAATAATGTTGCATTGCATGGAAAAAGTATTGATCAAAATAAATTATGCTGGTTTGCGAACTTATTTTTAAACATTCGGATTTTATAGGCATTATTCGAAAAAAAGTACCAAAAATATAGAATGTTACTTTTTGTTAATCCTTATTATTTTTAAAAATTTTTAAGAAAATATAATTTTTTATTTTTATATGTCAATTAAGACTAAAACTAATATATAATCACGAAAATAAAGTTTATAGCATATTTCCTTTAAATTTTATATAAGAAATAAATAAGACTGGTATTCTGTGGTACCGTAGTATTCTGTGGTACATACACCTGTAGCTCAGTTGGTTAGAGTGCTGCACTTGAATCACAGAACCGTAGGTTTAAATTAATGACAGTAATCTCTGCCAGATCACCTAGTTTTGCATTTTTCGCAGCCGTTCCTGATTAGGTCTTAAATTCTGTATATACTAAATATGCTCACTAGGATTATCCATCAAATTCAGCATAATCATAGACAATAAAATACATACAGTTTTGTATGCATATTAACAGAGACTCTTGGTGCCTGTGTATACAAAATATCAACGTGTCCTATGACGGCAGTAAAAACTAAACACAAGTTAATTAAATAAGCTATTTTAGATGATATGCTTACCACCCCTTCAGTCCCCTTCTTCACACAAATCTACTAGCAGTGAGAGCAAAGAATTCAAAGCGACATATAATGATATATCCCTTAGTAGTGAGTCGTAGTAACCTAGTAATCCTACAGAGACTCAGAGTCCAAGTATTAATTGTTAAACTCTCAGTTAAATATCGTTACTTGATGTACCTGCATAAACATACGTAAGCATTGTCATAATTACAATTTTAGAAGCATGTCAGTTTTTAATTTTTATCACACAACATGACATTCAGTTTTCACTGCGAGTAGATCAAGCGTTTTATAAAATAGACCGGACAACGTACCTTACGTCAGATACAGAAAATATTTGATCCAAGGATTGGATAATACGTATTCTGTAGGTTAAATTATCGTTATTCATACAAATCATACGTTATTTATGGCGCCATCATCTTCTAATTTTCAATTTGCGAATGTTTATCTAAACGCGGCAACGCTAACCTGAGATCAGGCTCTATTAGCACAACGCGGGCTCAAGGGGTCTTCTCGTGCATGAGGTCTTCTCGTGGGGGTCTTCTCGTGTAATCGGCACTGCCAAACCCTGCTCAACTGAACACTGACTGGAGGGTTGCAACCCCCAGGCTCGTACGCCTATGGACAGAAATTCTCACAGGCAAAAAAGCATTAAAAACAATATTACTGTTACTATTAAAATAACTTTTAGTCACCTCCCCCCATTAATTAACATCTCATTGTCTCATTAACCCATTGAGTGGCAGCACTCTCCACTTGAGGAGTAAAATCGTCTAGCGTTAGACAGAGCATAATACTAATTAAAGTAGGGTGCATCAGGGCACATCACCACTTAAAGGATTTAAAATTTAATGTTTTTGTACAGTAGTACTGTATTTTATGTTTGTAAAAACGTTTGTACTTTTATACTTTTGGTGATATTCCAGGACTCTGAAACAAAGTTCGACTTGATGTTGAATTCTTCAAACAAGAAATTCTGTGTCTCTTATTTAATATTAGGTTTCCCTGGGTATATCCTTTTAATAGACGTATATACCCTCGTATATACTCGCTTTTAATATGGCAGTATCATTTCATTTGTCAACAATCACTACTATCTGCATGATTCCATGTCGGAATTCTATAACAAATTAACAAAAATAGAGCAAACTAACATTCTGACCTTAATTTTAAAGGTAACATTACGCTCAAAATCTGTAACAACTACATGTGTATGTTTCAAAGATTATAAAAGATATCATAGAAAATAGTTTCCTTCGCGCCATAAGGATCAACACCTGATCTATTCCCGCCGTCGGCATTGAAACATAGCAAAAATACCCCATTTTCAAACCGCGATTGCTTGTCGACTTGGAGAAGCGATTTAGCATTTTAAAGAACCAACAGAAAGAGCAAGTCTTCCTCAATTTGACGACGTGTTTTTTTTTTACTTTTCTCATTAAAAAAGGTACTTCGCTCCTGGGTTATTTCAAAGCCATTTTCTTGGCGTGTCCATTGACCCGAAACAAGCATAAATACAATGCGTAATTAGCATAACTAAAAAGCAATATCTATACCAAAAAAAATATAAAACTGTTTAACTAGATGTCCAAACAAAACAATTATCATCACATACCTTCGAAAAAACGAGATCTTCAGAGCCAAAAGTCGCAATATATTTCAACAACTTTTTCGTTAACGTTTGCCAAAAATCGTAATTGTGAATAATGAGACGCAATGCATTGTGGAAAGACCCTCACTCCTCCTCTGGATAAATACCAGGGACTCTTCTTGGGCAAAATATACTCAAACGAAAAAGTCGAAAATTTGCAAATCACACTTGAAATTTGATACACGATATCCCACAACTCATTGCACGCGTGAAATTGTAGGAAGCATTAATCTGGCGGTCTCTGGCCAAAAAAGATTACAAAAATGATGAAAATTTTTATGAGCGAATTATATGCCAATTGCAATATAAATATAAATTTTTTATGGTTTATTACAGTATTAAGGTATCGCATTAATGTGACAGCATTAATCGTGATGTCATAACATGTGGTGATATTTATACGCAAAATCTTGGGTAAATTTACACATCATTTTTTTCGGTGGATCATACCATCTTCATTGTGTAGATAGACGATTGTTGCAAATGATTTGAATTCATGTATAATTGTTATTTTTCAATAACAATTCATTGGCCATATACCGGCAAATTCATTACGATACTCTGCCATGTTGAAACTGCGACAATTCAGGACAGAGCCGTTCAGCTTCAAATTTGACAAAAAAAGTGAAAGATATACAATAGAACTAGATTTAATTCAATTCAATATCATATCTCGTTTCGGCCATGCAAAAGTTGCCGTCCGAAAGAAAGGTTTTGATATTTGCGATAAATAATATTAAACTTCATTTCAAGATTGTTTTTCTAATTATAAGAATATTATTCTAGAATGGAAAAATGTTATTCTTAAAATAAGAAAAATATTCTCTCGAATATTCTTGCCTAGTTATATTTTCTTACTTTAAGATTTTTGTTCTTAAAACTACATTTTTTTTCTTAAAATATTTCTTGATAAGAAATATTTACTTAAAATAAGAAAAATAATCTAAAAAATAAGAATATTATTCTAGACTAGAATTCGATTTTTTGCGGTGTATAAACACAACGAAACCTACGATTTACCGTCTTTCCGGTTTTATAGCATCAAAAGTTTGTACATTGTTTTGAAAATTTTGCTCCTTCTCGCTCGCTTAAATTTCTTAAAAATTCAAGCGACAGTAAAAGCATGCGCGTGACGTCACTGAGTACATGTTAGGAGAATTTCAACGTCGATCTTTTTAGTAAAATTGTTTACTATGTAATATCTTCAACTTATAGTGCAATTTATCGTCTCGTGTGTTTATAGTGCGATAATGCACTTGGGGAATATTGGGAGAATACTCGAGAAGCGTGAAAAACACTCGGCTACGCCTCGTGTTTTACACGCTTCTCTCGTATTCTGCCACTTTCTCGTATTTCCCGCGTGCATTATCACACCATAGACGCACGCGACTCGTTTTCTATTTCTTAAATAAACGAGCAGGAGTGTTTTATTAGGTTTAAAGCCACGAGCGCACGGCGCGAGTGGCTTTAGACCTAATAAAACACGACCTGCGAACGCAGGACGGCTTCAAACACGACTACAAATTCAGTAGATGTATTGCCTTATTCTTTATATAAAGAATACTAATGAGGACACGACTACAACAGATGCTGCCTTATAATTAGTATTCTTTATATAAGGAATACTAATTAGGAGTGTTTTATCAGGTTTAAAGCCACTGCACTTGACATATTACGATTGAAATTATTTGCCAATAAGCTTATGAATTATTAATGAGTGTTTGAAATATTATTTTAACTCCAAGCCATATATAGGAAATAAAATGCAAATAACAAATCTTTGTAGTGGAAATAAAAATTATTTCATAAAATGCATGTAAAAATTATTTTACGGGAAATAAAGTGCGAATGAAAATTATTTCAAATTCGACATAATTATTTGTCCACTATTCTCAAGTACACACTTCTCCATTTACAAGGACACATTTTGCTTTTACTACGACACAAAGTGTGCGAAAAATAGTTATTTCAATGCTTGCTACAGTATTCCGCCCTGCGCATGAGCCGAACTTCAAGCGCTAGAAACAGAAACGAACACTTTAATTGAGATCTAGTTTAATTAAGTCTGCTTTATTGTTTTCATACTCCACTCTACATTTTCATGTGCTCTGACAATTATTTGTCAACATAACTATGCGTCATACATTGTTCGTTATCAGACTCCCATATCAATTAAAATGTTAGAATTGTGTCATATGTGCGAAACGATTATACAATACGCGTAACAGTATTATTAATAATTAATGTGCAAAATTTTAGGTACATTATTGTTAATTTTGTGGAAGTAAATTAATATTTGTAGTATTTGGAAAACGATGCACTTCCTCGATAACTTGGTGCTGTGATTGGATCGGGATATGTTTGGCCATGTAGTTGAATGCGTTCAACTCTTTTGGATAACTCAGCATGTCTTCTTGTTCGTATGATCCTAAAATAATAAAAGGATCAGGCGACAATTTAGAACCTGCATGGGTGTACAAGACAGGAGGGCAGGGAGAGCAACAGCTAGGAAAATTCAAGTGCTGCTAGGAAAGAACAAGAAGCAAATGCTAGGAAAAAAACAAGCTAGAAGAAGCAACTGCTAGGAAAAAACAATCGGGCATATTTATCAGAAAATAAATATCTTAAACAAGGATTGGTAGTGAGTAATATCTGGTCTAAATGCGACGAATAACTAAAGCTTGTCTTGGAGAATGCACAGTGTTTCAATTCTATTCAGTAGCGTTACTGGGGGTGTCCAGTCACGAGCAGCGTACGCCTGCCCCACCATCCAAAATGGCCAAAATGACAATAACAGCTAATACATTGGGCAAATTGACCCGAGCCTCTGTTATAGAGGGTTCGAAAATTTGCAACGGATGACGACCAAAAGCAGCAATATATTAAAATTGTGAAATTTGGACCCCTCTTTTTAGTAAACATGGGTCGAAAAACTTTTTGTGACTATTTTTTTCTTGAACCCCATTTTCCAATGAATATGGTTCGGAGAAACGCCACCACCACCGCTCGCCAACTTTTTTTGGAAAAAGGCCCCCACTTAAAAATTTGACAGGGGACTCAGGAGGTTCCGTTACGCCACTGATTCTATAATTTCATACTTTAATTAAAGCTCAATGGGTTGAGCCACGGTCAAGAAACGCGAAGATGGGAGTTCGAATCCCACTAGAGACAACGAATTTTTCGTTTTACTCTGCATGTGACAGAATAATATCAAAATATGTTTTTAAATCTTCGAGGGTGGTCCTGAATTAGAATTCAAAGAACTAGTTTCCTATTATTGTGACACTGCAATCGAGCAACGACAAAATCCGTTGGCTCAAGCGGGATTTGAACTCGCATCTTCGGGCATCTAGACCGCCGCTCTGCCCATTGAGCTATCGAGTCAACGGGGATTGGTAGCGAGTCTTATCCAATTTAAGTGCACGAAATATTTTCGTGACGACTTAACGCTTGCCTTAGAGGACGAGCAGTGTTTCAATTCTATTTTAGAATCATCCTCAGAGATACGAAAAACTAGTTTCATATTATTCTGATACTGCAATCAAATAACGAAAAATTTGTTGGCTCGTGCGTGACTTGAACTCGCATCTTCGGGTATCCAGATACGTCCATTCGTCCGTCAGTATCCGCGCTTCTTCTTCGTTACCCTCAGAACAAGTGCCTTTCGCTTCTGAGATCGTGCGTTCGATTCTCCCTACGGAGTCATGTGAAATGCGTCTGCCAACGCTCTGCCGATTTTCTCCGGGCGAAGGCTTCGGTTTCCTCCCACAGGGCAAGTTGGCAGGATGAGTTAGGATAAACATATAGTTGGGAAATTAATATCACACTGATAAAACGCAGATGTGACTCTTAAATTACATTTAACGAGAATATAAGCCATCCTTCCGTCCGTATCGGCGTTTTATCCTAACCCCCTTGCTCTGACGACTGTTCCACCAAAGCGTGATTATATACCAATATGAATAGGAGGGAACAAACACCCGGGGTGGACAGACTTTGTGTTTCATTTTGATACATCATTTCACGCCGCTGTTAAGAAATTGATTGCTGTTCAAATTTATTCTTAGATAATGGAATTTTGAGGCTGGGCCTAAGCACGGTCCTGGCTTCCTATGCAAATTGTTATGTTACAATTCTGAGAATCATTCATCAAATAGCATTGTGTTAAATAGTAGTTAATTGTTTCTGAAAACCAATTACAAAAAGTGTTGATAATCGGCATGAAACAATTTAATCAGTTTTTTAATCGTAATTTTTTACATACATTTAGATTGGTTTCAAGGAATCCTATAGGTTACTTTACAAAAGCGATATGGTGTTAATAAATTATATAATATCCTATATGAAATTATTTTGTTTAAATTAAATATCCCTCCATGTGCACTAAACTAGAGTGTGATGACAATCAACTAAACCACGCACGTACTATGCCGGGAATTTCAATCAAGAACATACAATGTTCTCGGTTAAATTCAAACGCTTTGTAATATAAACTTTTACTTACTCTGAAATTGAGAGCATTGTGAACACGATGGAGAATGTGACGCACGATACCAAGAAAATAAGCGCAGCACTGATCAAATATGTCACTTCCTTAACGCCATCTTTATCGACTATAAATATTAAGAAAATAGACAGTACAATATTTTAAATTATGAACAATAACACAGAGTGACCCTTATTTAAGTCCACCGCAGACCGTTTGATTTCCCATTGCCCAAATTCGTTGTTTTAAGACGTACTGCATTTCAAAACTGCAACATTTGAAGTTACAGTAACCACAAACGCATTATATAGATCATGGTGCTATTAACCTATAACATTTATTTCTTTTGAACACACCGTGTAAATCTGTAATCAGTTAAAAGCCCTAACAATTATGATCGCCGATATAGTTAAAACACAATACAAAATAGGGGACACTCTGCATGTCTTCATTTGATATTGTCAACATTTCGACGAATATTTATTCATCATCAGGATAAACATGAATGCTAAGGTAAAATTGCAAAAGCTATATATAGTATAAAGTAAGAAATGTCTTATATATCGGTCAACACAACACTAATTAAAAATAATTTGTAGTTTATGCTTTGGTTTTGTCGCTCAGTATAGGTTAACGTCTATAACGACACAGCAAAAGCCAAAATTCTTAGCAAAAAAATTTCTTGTTTCCAGCAAGAAACTGCCCTATATAAGACTGTATGGTGCTTCGTTGAGAAGCTTCCGTTCCAATATATTGCCATATATATGTTTGCATAGGTGGGTGCCAAGGTGATCCCATAGCGGTGCCATGAATTTGTAGAAAGTGTTTATTGGTAAATGCAAAGAAGGTTGTTCATTGTAAATGCATGAGAGATAAGATATCAATAACTGTTTTAGTTCTGAAGTTATTATTTTGTTTTCATTGAACATATCTACACAGACTTCGATGCCTTGATCATTAGGTGTATTGGTAAATTGAATACGCGGTCAGCATATTAAGCGAGTTTAACAGTTGGTCCTTCATAGCCTGAAATTATTGGTCTTTCTGGTGTGTTCACTTGTGCATCTATTGTTAGAAATTTGTGTGTTGTGCTGTCAATTATGTCTGATATGTGGAGTATAATGGCAAGTCTTTTAGTTTCTGCTAGTGTCTCATGGGTTGGGTCATGAGTAAGTTTTTGGTAGTGATTTGAGTCATTTAAATGTCTATATGCCTCAGCCAGTAGACATCTTTGACCAGATTACAATTGCTTCTACCTTGTCTGTTGGTTAAAGATCAAATCATTATCAGTTTTAAAGTTATGGATAGCTTGTAGTTCATCTTAAGATATAATTGTTTTTTTGCAGACTTTGATTGTGTTCCTCATAATCTGTTTTGAGATTATGGTAAACGTTTGAATTGTTTTCTTGAAGATTACCGCTGTCAGCTTATAGGGGCTGTGAAATTTGTTGGCAGCTTAAAGGGGTGACTGTATGTGTTTGTTTTGTGTCTGAAGAAGTACCTGTTGTACATGTTTCTTTCTGCATTTTAATTTTAGAAGAAAGAATTAGAAAATTGCTTGTATTGTGCACCCGATTATCGCGTTTGACGCCGGCTGAGAGCCGGAAATTTTATCTCCAACGCACTTCGGAGATTTCGCGAGCGCATCTCGGAGACTGGTTCTAGAATGTTTTTATCAGCAGAAAACAACCAAAATTGCATTAAATTTTCCGAAAATCATCGAAATGCACCTAAATTCATCTTCTCAATGCATACAGCTAGCTATGCGACAGGTAAGTAAACGAGAAAAAACCCAATCAGGGCAAAGAGAGAAGTTCAAATTCGTTTAATGTACAACTTGCAGCATTAATGAATAAGATTAAACATAAAATGGTTCCAAACTACCTGCAGGATATTTTCATCAATAGACAAGAAGTCCATAATCATAACACTAGGCATAGTGAATTTAATTATACATTACCAATGCCAAATACCAATGCTATGAAAAAGTCATAGGCCTATAGAGGTGCGGAGACTTGGAATGCTCTCCCAATGCTCTTCCGTGTTTGGATGGCCTGATCCAAACACGGCTTTCGACCAATCAGAATACGCGTTTTATACATGTTATTTTATAATGGTTTATACCAGACAACATAAACGTGTTATTAAACTTGAAAAGAACTCTTTATAACAGATTCTATATTATAAGCCAAACCTATAGGTCCTGGAAAGACGAAAGGATTGTTAGTTTTTGGCCTTCAATAGTTCAATCCACGAAACACACAACTCACGGTTCTGTCTTTTCGGGAAATTTTTACACATAATTTATATGAGTAATAAAACAAATTAGCTGTCCAGCAAGGTTAAGAAGCAAAAACGTTTCGTGCGTTTTAGGCATTTTAGTTTACTCAAGTTTTTTTCACTCGAAAACAACAAAATAAAACAATATGTTAGTTCTTTCATTTACATCCAGTAAATTTCTCGGTCAGTAACTTAAAAGATGGCGTGAATGCTCACATTTCATGGCATAGATTACACTTACTGCCAAAATCGCGGCCAACGCGTGCTCATAAAAATCGCGGACACAATTTTGGGTGAGTGAGACATCTGGTATTATGGATGGATGGATCAACTTTATTTAAAAACACGCTAATCTTTTCAACAATGTTAATGCTGGTTTCCAACAGAGGTGTGTACTACTCCGATAGAATAAATCCCCCTTTTAATAAACCTATTATGTATAAATATAAATTTGTTTACTAATAAGTACTATATTTTAATAAAGAAATCTAAGAAATTACTACAATAAATTAAGCATGATTACTGCTAAATGAAAAGGTCGAGGTAGAAAGCTTTTCACAAAACGAAATATAAGATGCCGAAGTTCTTATGTCTTCCGGAATTTGATTCTATCATCTGTGCCCAGAGTGAGCGCAAAAGAATTTGAATTTCTTTCCTTGCCGTATTGTTTTTTTTTCTCGTTTATTTACCTGTCGCATAGCTAGCTGTATGCATTGGGAAGATAAATTTAGAAGCATTTCGATGATTTTCGGAAAATTTAATGTAGTTTTGGTGTTTTTTTGCTTACGAAACATTCTAGAACCAGTCTCCGAAATGCGCGCATTTTTTGAACGAATAGTTTACTATAGTACAGCCCGGATGGCAGCCGAGCAATCGGTGACAAAATTTCCGGCTGTCAGTCGGCGTCAAAAGCGCTAATCAGGTGTATTGTGCCGGTTTGGGGGAAGCGATGTAAGACAAGCGTTTGAATAGAGTTGTTAGTGCGGATTTAGAAATGTTTTTAAGAGTGAATATCAGTAAAAATCGAACATATGAGATATTTCGCGGCCACGACTGAAAAATCGATTTTGCTCAAATTTTGCCCAGATATACCTTATTATATCGGAAAATGCACCATATATTTTTTAGGCCAAATGCTTTTTTAACTTTGAGAAAATGCCGTTTTAACACAACCACCCTAAATCGCCATTTTGTCCGGGAAAATATGCGCTGATTTTACCGACAAATTTCACGACGACAACCGTTCATAATCGATCTAAAACCCTAAAAGTCTTGTTTTCGGTTATTCAAAGGACCGGGTGCGTGACTTACAAGAAATCTGAGTTACTTTTAGGAATAGAAATAATCGTAGTTTTGGAGCACACTATCTTACTTCATTTACAATACCCTCTTAACAAAACCGATTTTCACCATGGGATAAAGCTCCAAATCGATCATGCTTCTACTAGTTGGCTCTTTAATAAACAAGCTTATTCTATGGGCAAATGAATACGCGATAAACGACAGCGCGCTGAAATCGTAAGTTTTTGACGTCTTGCAAGCAAACGCTGTTAATTTACATACCGTCGAAATAAACAATTTAATCAAGTATTCTAAGTATTTTACCTTTTGAGAAGAAGATATATTCTTGAATGGAGACTTTTTGCCTTGCTAAGTTTAAAATTGGTCCAAAAATCCTGATATAATTGTAAATATCATCACATACAGGTATTTTGAGATATAATATTGTTGTCAGTTGCACAATAACTTCACATCACTGTTCAATATTGTCTACTTTTAATAGCGCTAACATACAAATCGATGAGCTGTTTAGGGATTATATTTGCTACTAAATTTCCCAAAATTAGAACTTCAGTTGTTGTTTTGTTCCAGTTTGATCCATATAATGTACCATTTTACATATCGACTATCCTATCGAGTATAAATGTTTACGAATACATAAGTTAATTATTAAGCAGCTGTTAATAGCGTACGTGTGAAATGAACATTAATCCATACAAGGTTTGTTATTCTATTACATATTCTACCACCTCAAACTCAAATTATAGCAAATAGTTTAGAATAATTATTTTAATGTGTGTTCACTTTGATGCTCAGTTAAAATAATCAGTAAAATTACTTTCTTTTGATAGTAACCCAAAAATACAGCATTGAGATATGTTACCCCAGTGCGACACCAGAAATTATTATTGTCTCCCCACACGTCGCGTTTAAAAAAAATGGAAGCTTGTTACTCGTTTAACGCCGGATTAACCATGTGTCAGATGCGGCAAATGCCACTGGCCTCGCGCTTATGGGGGCATTGCGCTTTACTGTGCCACGCCCATTCTTACGAGAACACGGCCATTTTCTATTGGGACACACCCATTTAAGTGCCTCGCGAATTTAGGGCCCCTAGGCTTGGCAGTTGGCCCCAGCACGGCCCCGGGAAGATATGCAATACTCGTGTGCATATAATCTCCAGTTGCGTTCAGCTGTTATATTATGATCCTGAGTAGTAATATAGGTACCGTTCGACCCCCATTTTTGAGGGTGCGTAAGGGTACGCTAATTAATATTCATAAAAATGAGGGTGCTGAGGGTGCGTTAATTAATACTCGTACAAATGAGGGTGCGTAGTGACGTCACTCATTAACATACGTCATAATTATATGCAATGACGTCACGCGGGCGAGCTTGAACATGATCGGGCGAAACTTGCTGACTACGTATTTTTGAGCGTCTCCCACGTGTATGATACAATGGAGGGATTAATGTTGGCTTACTATGATTGGTTGTTTGATTTAACGAGCGTCTATATAAAATCGACAAGCGTCTTGTAACAAGCATAGTTCTGCATTAGTTCTACATCAGTCATGGAGTGTCTACACGGAAAAGCTGCTGCCTCTACAACTACAAACAATGGTACATTTTGGTTTTGTGGGGAAAAACCAAGCTGTGAGTTCTTTTGCCCGGACGAAAATTGTTATATGTATACGAGAGCTGTAGCTGCGTTTCGTGCAAGTGGTTCTATACATCCCGTATGTCCTACACATCAGAAATATGCCAAGTTATGTGTGGTCAAAGACACAATGAAAGATAACTACGGACGACCCTTCTTCGTATGTTCTGAGCGAAAGAATCCCTGCAAGTTCTGGCAATGGGGAGACGTGTTCGAAGGTCCAAGACCGTTATGTCAACATGGAATGGTGTGCTGTGAACGAAAAGTCAAGAAAGATGGTCCGAATCAAAACCGTCTGTTTTACTGCTGTCCGAAGGACGACTCTTGTGGTTTCTTCGAATGGAAGCAACAAGGCCCTCGGGTGACCAACACTGGCATCGTGCTCTTCAGTAATCCACTACAATACCAGTACATGATTGAAGAAACAGGAGAGACATTTAATAGTTCTAAATCTAACACTAAGGAGGCCTATGATGAATTTCGTAGATTTGGTTTAACAAGTGAACTTGATAAAATAGACCTCTTGTAACAATAATACGTTGCTAGTTAATTAATGTAAATTTGCATATATTTACTGAAATAAATACTGTGTGTCTCATTTGTTGTTCAATCGTTGTGGTGAGAGTATCATGGATAACATAGATATAATTTTTGATGAGTTGGAACGAAATGAAATTGATATTGATAAGCAAGCTTTATCGTTTCATATAAATACAATTCTCGACCGCCATCGAGATCTATATCGTGCAGTAAATGTTCGTGATCTAAACCTTGACCAAATCTACAGAGAGATCAATGTAACAAACTTTGGTTGTATCATTGCCTATTTAGCTTTGGTATGTGTACAAAATGATAGCGAGGAATCTATTCGTCACAATGTACAAAAATCCATCGAGGCATGTCGAATTTTTACTATTCCCAAACATAAACGAAGTAAACGTCCAATTTTAATAACACTCTCACTCACACTGATAGCTTTATATATCAGTCTATAATTACTGGATGTTTCATTTTGTTCAAACCTCTGAAGAGTAAGGATGCCTTGCTGTAAAGGTTTACCACAAATCTCTCTTCGAAACATTTTTCGAAAAGTACGCTGTATTTCTGCTTGCTGTGGTGGAAAAATTGTAATTCAAGCCTCAGACATCGATGGCGGAGAAATATCTAAGCCAGATCTATTACGATCCAGAAAGCCCCGCAAGTTTTGGTGGCGTAGATTCCGTTTATCGCGCCGTGAAAAACGAAGGGAAATATGAGATATCGCGGAATAAAATACGCCAATGGTTACAAAAGCAAGATGCCTATTCATTGCATAAACCTGTCAGATATCGCTTCAGGCGTAACCGTGTTATAGTTGGAGCCATGGATGATGAGTGGGAGGCAGACTTAGTCATTATGGATTCATTAAGTCAACAGAATAATGGGTACAAGTACGTTTTAACTGTTATTGATGTACTCAGCAAATATGCGTGGGTTGAAGTGATAAAAGCAAAAACTGGGAACAATCTTGTCAAAGCCTTTGACAAAATAATCAAGAAAGGACGCAAACCGAAAATGTTTCACACTGATAAGGGGACGGAGTTTATCAATAGACAGTTTCAAACCTTTTTGAAGAAACATGGCATTCGATTTTTTACGACGTACAACGAAACCAAGGCATCAATTGTCGAAAGGTTTAATCGCACGCTCAAGACAAAAATGTGGAAATACTTTACAGCGAACAATACGCTCAAGTACGTGGACATTCTCCAGAAACTGGTCAAATCTTATAATCGTTCTCGACATCGTAGTATTGGTATGAGACCGGTCGATGTGAATAAAAGTAACGAGAATATTGTGTGGCAAACACTCTACGGGAAGGGGTCGAAAAAATCAATCCAGTTTAAGTTTAACAATGGCGACCAAGTCCGGATTAGCAAAGCAAAGCGAACATTTAAGAAAGGATACTTGCCCAATTGGACTGAAGAAGTGTTCACGGTAACGAAACGCGTACCTCGACGACCGCCTGTTTACAAGATTTCAGATTATGACGGTGAAGAATTGGAAGGAACATTTTACGAGCAGGAACTTCAGAAAGTCAACAAATCAGACAGTGACTATTATAGAGTAGAAAAAGTAATAAGATCACGCATGCGTAATAAACGTAAAGAGTATTATGTAAAATGGTTGGGTTACCCTGACAAGTTTAATTCTTGGGTACCAGCAGAGAGTGTAAAAGATCTGAAATAAATATATTTGAAACTCATAACTTGTATTCATTTGTGTGTTGGTCTTCAATATGGCAACACAGTTTTATCTCACGTTACCGAGTAATAGTTCTATGGCTTATTTTCAAAATAATACAGTGGCAAATTTTCGAGTGAAATTGGTCGAAACCATTGTCTTGCCAGGCCAATGGGAAGTCGCATTGACGGAACTGCATTACCCATATACGTGGAGCACGCTAAAACGTGGAGTGCAACAAACGTTTTTGTATAAAATTGGCAGTAACCCTTATCAAACTGTCGTGCTTAAAGAAACACAATATTCTTCTATTGAGCAACTAACAAAAGCACTCAATGCCGGCATGTCAAAAGAAACACAAACGAAAGTAAAGTTTAGTTACAATCGTAGTTCTCGCAAAGTTTTGGTTGATGTAAAACCCGACACAACTGTGTGGTTTACCGGAGAATTAGCAACGGTCTTGGGATTTGACCAGGACACACTTATTGAAAAGAAAACGTCGAGTCCCTATCCTGCAGATATCAATGGTGGATTTTCCTCCATGTATGTCTATACTGATATCGCTGATGCACAGTTTGTGGGCGATGTGAAAGTACCTTTACTACGAATCGTTAATATCGAAGGGGAATATGGAAACACCGTTCACGCCAGTTTTCGTAATTTGCAATACGTACCGGTCAAAGTAAATTCTTTTGAGACCATTGAAGTGAATATAAAGAATGACCGAAACGAAAACGTCTCATTTGAGTTTGGGAAGTCAATCGCAACACTTCACTTTAGACAGAAGAGATCTCAGTACTTTATCTAAAAATGCGCGGAAGACTAGTTGTGGATGCTAAACTATTGAAAGACCATTTCTTGAGACAACAGCGTGGTGGGAATATCGCTGGGTTTCGTGGTGCACGTATGCAAAGGGGATATGGGATCGGAAGTATTTTCAAAAGCCTTGCGAGATATGCTATCCCTCTGTTCAAGCAAGGTGCTAAAGTTGTTGGCAAAAGAGCATTGCAAGCAGCCACAGAAGTCGGTCAAGATGTACTCCAAGGAAAAAATGTAAAAGAAGCTTTTAAATCACGAGGAAAACAAGCAGTATCTGATGTTGCCAAGAAAGTAATGACCGGAAATGATCGCAAAAAGGGTATAAAAAGAGCAGCGCCAGCTAAAACTCCCATTCGCGGTCCAACCAAGAAGCAGAAAACATCTCTCGACAACTATAGTCCAAAGTGGCATGGCTCTTGAAACAATGCATAAAGACTCCTGTATGTGCTCAAAATCTGAACTCGATTTATTTTCTATTCCACCGACTCAAGTGGTAATGGAAAAGGGATTTTGGGAAGCTGTTGATCCTATTACGAGCATATCTTCTTCAGATACGACAGAATTTTTATGTGCTGCAAATTCTGGTGTTTATACCGACTTAGCAAGCAGTTACCTATACGTTAAAGCAAAGATCACTACTGCGGCCGGAGGAAATGTGGGTGCAGACATTCAAGTTGGACCTTCAAACCTTTGGATGCATGCATTATTCTCACAAGTTGAAGTATTTCTGAACAACAAACTGGTCACCCCATCAAGCACAGCATACCCTTACCGAGCGTATATCGAAACGATCCTGAACTTTAGTAAAGACGCCAAAGATTCACATTTGACCTCAGCACTGTTCTATAAAGATAAAGCTGGAAAGATGGATGCAGTAAACCCGCTCGCACAAGATGCCAACGTCAACACGGGATTAAAACAACGCCATGCATATACACGTGAAAGCAAATCTGTCGCCATGGAAGGAAGACTTCATTCTGATCTATTCGCGCAAGACCGTTATATTCTTGGTGCTGTGCCAATCAAGATCAAGCTGGTGAGATCTAGAGATCCGTTTTGTTTGGTATCATCCGCAGAAAATCCCAATTTCAAAGTGGTCATCGAGGAATGTTTGTTTCGTGTACGACGAGTTAACGTAGCCCCTAGTATTATACTGGCTCATTC